CCTCTTGCAAAGCTTAACAAACAAGCTAAGCAGAAGTGAAATCCCTTCATACACGTGTATAGAGGGGCAAAGTGGGTGCCAGCTATCACAGCTGGCACAAAATATTGCCAAAAGCAGATGCACAGTGGTTCGGCCAGCCAAAGATGCCAAATTGGCAAAAAACAATGGTCGGCCAAACATCAATAGTCCGACCGGCCAAACATTTGGCCGATGGCAACAAAACATGGCCGGTGGCCTCAAGCCATGGCTGGTGAGGTGTGGGGATGGCCAACAAGCCGTTCTCTCTGCCATCCAAGCAGAAACACAAGTGTTTGGTGCAAACAACCAAACACAAAGTCGAGTCGAGAATCCTGAGGCAAGGCGCGTGGCCGAGACCTCTGGGAACTCAAGACGAACACAACAAGATGATCACCGATGTTTCAAATGGTGACGTCAAGTCTTGAGGACGGTCAAAAATGGGGTTCTACACAATGTCAGATGAATACTAGGCCAGGTACTTGGTCTTTGTACCTCTTCTACCTGGTAAACAGGCTATTGGCTGCAAGTGTGTTTTTAGGCTTAAGAAAAACTCAAATGGTTCTAATTACTAAGCTAAAGCCAGACTGATTGCTAAAGGATTTCTTCAAACTGAGGGAGTGGACTATCATGAAACATTTAATCCTATTGCTAAACAACCACAATTAGGGTTCTCTTATGTTTAGCTCTTCATTATCATTGGCTTATTAAACAACTTGACATTTCCATTACTTTGCATCAACCCTAGGGATTTATTGATGCTACTCATCCATCTCTTGTTTGCAAATTGAAAAAAGCCCCTCTATGGCTAAAAACAAGCTCCAAGAGCTTGGTTCTCTACATTTGCTTCTTTCTTCTTTTCCGTGATTTTGTTCCTAGCCCTGTGACTTTTTCTTGTTTGTTGAGAAAACTCCTACTTCCATTACTATTCTTCTTGTTTATGTTGATGATATTCTTATCGCTTGCAGTGATATCTTTTTTTTTTTTATCTCCACTCGTATCCATAAAAATGCACTTTGCTTTCTCTATGAAAGATTAGGCCTTCTCAATTACTTTTGTTGGGCATTTCTGTTGCCTCTTTCTTCTTCAGGCTATATTTTGTCTCAGCAGAAATATGCTTCGAAATCTTAGCTAAAGCTGGTATGCAAGATTGTAAGCCCTATTTTCTCTCATGGCTACTAAGGTTGCTGCTTCAGTGGTTAATTCTCCTTTTTCTTAGCCTAGTCTTTATGGAAGCTTAGTAGGTGCTCTTCAATTCCTTGCTCTCACTGACCAGATCTCAGTTTTACTGTCATCATTTTGTTAGTTTTTACGAAACCCTTTGAATAGTCATTTCCAACAGTTAAAAGACTTCTATAGGTATCTCAACGGCACATTGAGTCATGGCTTCATTTCACAACTGGCCCTCTTATTCTTAATGCTTTTTCAGATTCAGAGTAGGCTGGCAATGTGCTTGATTGGAGATACACTACAAGGTATTTGTACTTCTTGGTCTTTATTTGGTTCCTTGGTGTGCTAAGAAGCAACCCACTATTTCAAGATTTTATCTAAGGTTGAATATAGAGCTTTAGCTCAATTTCTGCTAAATTGAGCTGACTTGGCGTACTTCTTGTTGAACTGCATGTGTCAGTGTTTGTTCCCACTATATGGTGTGATAACTTGTTTGCATAGCCTTGGCTAATAATCCAGTTTTTTCATGCCAGGACAAAGCATATTGAGGTTGATTACCATTTTGTCAGAGAGAGAGAGTTGCTGCCAAACAACTTGTCATTTGTCACATTGCTTCTACTAATCAAATTGCAGATATCTCACTAAATCTCTCCAATCTCTAGGTTTAAAATCTTGAAGTAAACTTGAAGTCCTTCTATGTCCCCAAAGTTTGAGGGAGACTGATAACATACCTAATGATCAAAGAAGAAATGTTGAGCAAAGATGGCAGTCATATGGATAAAGACACATATGTATCATACTACTCAGCTGCAGCTCAAGCCACACATGTCACACATGCCAAAGTTCAGAATGAGCCGCAACCCGCAGCAGTATGAGCTGCAACCACAATTGTAGTCTGCTGCTGCTCAGTTAGCCAAGCTTGAAGTTTGTGTTCGTTAGAACTAGAGTTAGATAGTAGTTATGGTTAGTTAAGTAGTTAGTAGTTATGGTCGAGCAATTACATCACATTTATATAATGTGCTAGATCTTTCTTTAATTGTTATTGAATGAAATAAACCACAATTTCTTTACAAAGTACTCAAAAATTAAGAGTATTAATATGATTCGAATTTAATGTGGTGTGTGCATAGGCAAATTTAATATGATTCACACATTTTTACTCTTTTTAGAGTATTTTTTTTTTATGGAAGTGTACAAAAATATTGAAGAGAGTAATTTTTTATTTTTTTATTTTTGGATAGATAAGTTATAAGTTTCATATAAAAAATAAATATTACAGAAGACAACAATTACATGAGTTTTCAATACACATCTATGTGTACATAAATAGTAGATAATCTAGTAAAGTTGAGGCAATGAAAAGATGTATACTAAAACATTTTTCCAATCAACTAGAAAACAAGAGCCAAGATTGCGAGAAAGGGCATATTATTCTATTAGAAAATGAAAATAAATACAAAGTCAACAGTAAAATAGATAAGTGATTTGTGTTATATTTAACTGGAATCAAGGCATTGACCTTCTAATCCAATTAAAATGAAAACTAGAAAAGAGACACACATGTGTAGGAATAATATATAAGTAAAAAACATTGAAGGCAACCTCCCCCTCAGATCATTTGACTCTGATCTGCAAGGCTAGTTTAATAATTAAAGACTTTGACAATGCAGCATACAAAATCCTGCATGGCTTTGGCTGAAGACCCCTTGAATCCTTCTCATCATTCTTGGCATTGTTAAGCGTCTCCATAACCTCACAAGCTTTGTTTTTCATGTCTTTCCCTTTAGTTGACCCACCCCATTACCAAATCAATCATTGTCACAATGTCTTTATGATTAACCTCACTGCTCCCACTTGCCACCCAAACACAGAGTCCAACTCTTCCTCCAACATCTTGGCATTGAAGTTTTGCTCTGCCCCATCGGCCACGAAAGCATTGGGATTCCATTGCTGAGAGCTTCAGCAACTGAGTTCCATCCACAGTGGGTTAAAAACGCACATAGAATTTACGGACAAAATTTCCAACTGGGATGCCCATTGTTGCAGTAGCAGCAGCCCTTTGTTGCTATCTTGAATACGCCTCTCAAAGCCTCTTGTGAACCATTCTCCATCATTATGGTCATCATCTGTGACGAGTTCGATGTTGGCTAACGACCCAAAGAAATTTTTGCCACACGCTTCCAAAGCCATGGCCAACTGGATTGTTTTGGATGGTGATGGTGCACTTTGTGACCCAAACGCCACATAAAGAACTGGATTTTCTGGCTTCGAATCAAGCTATTTCATGCTAAGATGCATTGTGGCTTTAGCGTCATCACCAGCACGAGCTTTGCTTCCCAAGGAAGACAGAATAGGCCCAACTGGCCACACGGAACAACCAATTTGGTGCCTAAAATACTCCATCCCGACATGGTCAATCTCCTCCATGGTGTTGAAACAAATCCCATCACTCTCTGTTAGCGGTATTTTAATATTATAATGTGTTTTTGTCTTCCTCTTAGTCTTCCTAATCTCCATGACTTCCAGCTAAGTCTCTCTAGTCTTTGCCAAGTCTCTCATGCTTATCTTTTCAACTCTTCTTCAAGTCTCCTATCCATTCCTTGCTTATTAAGCTTTCTTGATCTTGGTCTCTTGGTCTTGGTCCAAGTCTTGGTCTCTAACTTATCCATCCGTGAGCCTTGCCTATTAAGTTTTGTTTCCTATATATATATATATATTAACTTGTGTCATATTTTTGTATACATATAAGAGAGAAGGAGTTTTGGTTGCTTTGGTTATGTCTTGAGTGAGATTATTAGGCAAATAAAAAGGGTGTGTGTGATAAAGCTCTGGGTTTCAACCAATTGTGCAGTATTGTGAACCATACGACTTAGTCGGGCTGTTGTATCCTGAGGGGGACAAGTCAAGGTTTTTTCTGCTGCACCGGTGTGAGGCTTTGCCTAACCGCAGAGGGCTTGATCTCCTTAAAGAGAGCGAGTTCCCGCGCCTCAGCCCTGATAAAAGTTATTGTAATTTTTTATTTGTATTTTCGGGTGTATTATTGTAATTATCACCAACAATTTTAAGGTATTCAAATAGCAAAAGTTCATGGAGCCAGTACTGGAGAAGCCCAACGAGAAGACTGGAAATCTCAGAAGCCCTTCCGGTTCAAGGGAACCCATTTCAAGAGATGGAAAGGCAAGGTGTTTTTAACCTCAGTCTCCTCAACGTGGCTTATATCCTGACCGAGAAAAATCCGAACAAAGTTCCCACTGAAGAGATGACCGACGAGGAGTATGCCACTCATCTTGAAAAAACTCAAAAAATACAACACAGATGAGTATAAATGTCGATACTATCTTTTGAAATTGTCTTTCAGATCAATTTTATGATTATTATGATACTACTTACCACCACTGCCAAGAAAATTTGGAAAGCCTTGTAGAATAAATATGAACACTGAAGAAGCAAGCGCAAAAAAATATGCGCAAGCCGTTTTTTCCGCTATCAAATGATGTGGAAAATCAGTGGTGGAGCAAGTTCAAGATTTTCAGATGTTAGTAGCTAAAATTAGATCTGAAGGCATCAAATTGGAGACAATCTTGTTGTAGCAGGTATTGTTGACAAACTTCCATCATCTTGGAGGAAATTCAGAAGTCAATGCGTCACAAGCAAAAAGAGACGTCCTTGGAAACTCTAATCACACACGGATTCGGGTGGTGGAGGAAACACGAGGACAAGATGCGCTTATGACACAAGAGTATTCCACTGCTAAGGTAAATTTAACTTCTGGAAATACTTTACCTAAAGGTTGATTTCATAAAAAAATAGTCATTTCAAGCCAGTAAGAAAATTTGGAAAAATACTGGAAGACCACAAAATAAAAATTACCTGAGGCAAAAGAAGTGGAATCAAGAAACCCCCTTCACAAGATCTGACAAATGTGACATGTTTTGTGTGTGCAAAAGTGGGCATATTGCTCGAACTTGCAAATTTCGGAAAACAGCCTCGACCACAGGCTAATGTTACCGAGGAACCATTTGTGGCTATGATTACAGATATTTTATATGGTTCAATATGTGGAAGGGTAGTGGGCAGACTCTGGTGCCAATAGGCATGTCTGCTATGATAAGATTGGTTCAAAGATTTCACTCCTTTTAATGAGGAGAAGACTGTTATGCTTGGTGACTCCAGTTTAACCAAGGTGCTCGGGTATGGGGATGTTGAGCTGAATTTTACCTCTGGACGTGTGCTTGTTTTAAAAGATGTGTTGTACACAACCGTCCATGAGGAAAATTTGATGTCGAGTTATTTGCTCAACAAAGTTGGTTTCAAACAGACTGTTGAATCTGATCAATATGTTCACTAAAAAGGCATATTTGTGGGAAGGGTATGCTTGTGATGGAATGTTTAAATTAATGTTGAGAATAAGAAAGCACAATATTTCTGTTTACATGCTGTCTTCTATGAATTTTTGGCATGCTCGTCTCAGTCATATTAATAGCCAATATGTGGGAGTCATGAGTAGTTTAGGATTAATTCCCAGACTAATAAACAAGTTTGAGAAATGTGAAGTTTGCAGTCAAGCAAAAATAACTAAAAGGCCTCATAAAAGTGTGGTGAGAAATACTGAATTGTTAGAATTAATTCACACTGATTTATGTGAATTTGAAGGAATTTTAACACATGGTGGAAATAGATATTTTTCATCACTTTTATTGATGATTTTTCAAAATACACTTATGTATACTTGTTAAAAAATAAAGTGATGCTTTTGAAAAATTTAAAAGATTCCTTCTTGAAGTTGAAAATCAATTCGGTAAAAAGATTAAAAGTATAGGAGTGATAGAGGCCGGGAGTATGAATCTTTTGCATTCAACTCGTTTGCTCAGTCTTTGGGAATAATCCATGAAACTACTCCACCATATTCACCTGCATCTAATGGTGTAGCAGAAAGGAAAAATAGAACTTTAACTGATTTAACAAATGCTATGCTAATTGAAGCAGGTGCTCCTTCAAATTTGTGGGAGAAGCAATTTTAACTGCATGTTATGTCATGAACAGAGTGCCACATAAAAAAACAAAAGTTACATCTTTTGAGTTGTGGAAAGGGCATAATCCAAATTTGAGATATTTGAGGTTTGGGGTTGTCTAGCTTTGTTAAACTTGTGGACCCTAAAAGACCTAAATTAGGTGTGAAAGCTGCACTTGTGCTTTTCTTGGATATGCAACAAATAGTACAACCTATAGATTTTTTGATATTGAAAACAAAATAATTTTTGAATCAAGAGATGCAATTTTTTCATGAAGAAAAATTCCTTTTAAATCTAAAAATGGTGGGGGTCAAAATTATGAAAGAAATATTTTATCTAAAACTGGTTCCTCTACTCCTCTTTTACAAAACCAAGATCCTATAGTTTTTGAACCTAGAAGGAGTAAAAAAGCCAGAGTAGAAAAAGATTTTGGCCCTGATTATCATGTTTTTAATGTGGAGGAAACTCCATTAACTTTACAAGAAGCTTTGGCATCTCCTGACTCTGTTTTTTGGAACGAGGCTGTAAATGATGAGATGGAATCATTATTATCGATAAACCTGGGTATTAGTAGATTTACCACAGGTTGTAACACTATTTGGCTGTAAATGTGTTTTGAGAAAAAAACTTAAACCGGATGGAACTATTGATAAATATAAAGCAAGGCTTGTTGCAAAAGGTTTTAAACAACAAGCAGATCTTGACTTTTTTGATACATTTTCTCTGGTTACTAGAGTTATATCCATTAGATTATTAATTGCAGTGGCTGCAATTCATGATCTAAAAATTCATCAAATAGATGTTAACAGCCTTTTTAAATGGAGACCTGGGTGAAGAAATCTATATGGATCAACCTGAGGGTTTTGTGGAACCCGGTCAAGAAACCAAAGGTGCAAGCTAGTTAAATCCCTCTATGGCTTAAAACAGGCCCCTAAACAGTGGCATGAGAAATTTGATTCCTACATGATTGAGAATGGCTATGAAACGAATGAATTGATAAATGCATTTACTGTAAAATTTGAAGAAAATTCGCATGTCATTATTAGCCTCTATGTGAAAGATTTACTTATATTTGGCTCTAATTTGCATATCATCGTGGAAACTAAAAATATGCTTAGTAGCCATTTTGATATGAAGATCTTGGTGAGGCTAATTATATTTTTAGGAAAAAAATTACCAAAACCTGTGATGGTATATTTCTTGATCAGTCGCATTATGTTGAGAAAATTTTGAGAAATATAATTTTTTATAGCTGCAAGCATGTTCTTACTCCTTTTGATTCTCATGTGCGTTTATTTCCTGTTGAAATGATGAGGATGTAATTAATCAAAAGAAATATGCTAGTATGAATTGGCAGCTTGCGTTATGCGACTGACTGTACTAGACCTGACATTGCCTATGTAGTTGGAGTACTTAGCAGGTTTACTAGCAAGCCTGGCATGATCACTGGCTAGCCATTGAGCATATTATGAAATATTTATCTGGTACCATAAATATGGCTTGTTTTATAATAAATTTCCTGCAGTACTTGAAGGTTATAGTGATGCCGATTGGAATACCTTGTCAGGTGATTCATTATCAACCACTGGTTACTGTTACAAGCCCGCAGGGGGCCTCGCTACAGCTCGGACTCGACTTTGTAGTCACGGTTCTAAGTCTGAACCAAAGAGTCCAAATCCGGCAAATCGTTTTTTGAGAAAACAGATTTTTTGAAAAGAAGTGCCAAACATGGACTGCTTTGCCAGATACAGAGTCGCCACCTAATATTTTATTTTGGGAAATTTAGGAAAAACCTGACTCGGTGCCAAAGGCCACGTGTCCGTCATCACCAAAGTTGCCTCGGCTCGGGAACTTGGGTTACGATTGGGGAAGGTCACTTCGTGAGCACCCCCGCTCGCCCCGGTCATAGACCGGCCTCTACTAACCATGATATCAATTTTTGAAAACTTTGTGTGTCCTTAATCCGGTTATTAGCCTAGTTACTATGTGATGCGCACAGCATACAAGTATAGACCGGGTCGCCTGAATTGGAACGAAACATTTCATGTTGTTTTTGAAAGAGGTTTGCTACTCGCAGGTAGGCTTGAAACATTTGATGATTTATTCCAATTTTAAGTAACCCAACCTTCACCCACAGGCATTCAGGCAGTTTATATCACATAAACATATAGCCTCATGGTAAGCATGCTATTCATGGCAGTCACTCACACGATGCAAGGAATGCTAAGCAATAAGCTTACCGGGTTACTCCAAGCCAAAACAGAACTCATTAGAAATCATGCATGAAACCTAAGTATACAGAAATGCCTAGTGCAACACATGCAAAAATACAACTATAGCAGGCTCGGCTATTCTAAATACATGGCATATGAGATGCTACAACTACATACGTTATCATAAAGAAAGGGGAATCCAATCATACTAGCATATTCCTTTTGATTAATTACATCCTCATCATTTTCAATAGGAAATAAACGCACATGAGGATCAAAAGGAGAAAGAACATGCTTGCACTTATAAAAATTATATTTTCTCAAAATTTTCTCAACATAATGCGACTGATCAAGAAATATACCATCACAGGTTTTGGTAATTTTTATTCCTAAAACATAATTAGCCTCACCAAGATCTTTCATATCAAAATGGCTACTAAGCATATTTTTAGTTTCCACGATGATATGCAAATTAGAGCCAAATATAAGTAAATCTTTCACATAGAGGCTAATAATGACATGCGAATTTTCTTCAAATTTTACAGTAAATGCATTTATCACATTCATTCGTTTCATAGCCATTCTCAATCATGTAGGAATCAAATTTCTCATGCCACTGTTTAGGGGCCTGTTTTAAGCCATAGAGGGATTTAACTAGCTTGCACACTTTGGTTTCTTGACCGGGTTCCACAAAACCCTCAGGTTGATCCATATAGATTTCTTCACCCAGGTCTCCATTTAAAAAGGCTGTTTTAACATCTATTTGATGAATTTTTAGATCATGAATTGCAGCCACTGCAATTAATAATCTAATGGATATAACTCTAGTAACCAAAGAAAATGTATCAAAAAAGTCAAGATCTGCTTGTTGTTTAAAACCTTTTACAACAGGCCTTGCTTTATATTTATCAATAGTTCCATCCGGTTTAAGTTTTTTTCTCAAAACCCATTTACAGCCAATAGTGTTACAACCTGGTGGTAAATCTACTAATACCCAAGGTTTATTGGATAATAATGATTCCATCTCATCATTTACAGCCTCGTTCCAAAAAACAGAGTCTGGAGATGCCAAAGCTTCTTGTAAAGTTAATGGAGTTTCCTCCACATTAAAAACATGATAATCAGGGCCAAAATCTTTTTCTACTCTGGCTTTTTTACTCCTTCTAGGTTCAAAAACTATAGGATCTTGGTTTTGTAAAAGAGGAGTAGAGGAACCAGTTTTAGATAAAATATTTTCTTCATAATTTTGACCCCCACCATTTTTAGATTTAAAAGGAAATTTTTCTTCAATGAGAACATAAAAAAAAATGAAATATTAAAATAAATAAATGAACAGTGAAAACGTGGTTTCAATCCACGCTTACTGTAGTGAACAGTGAAAGCGTGGTTACAATCCACGCTTCTTTAGCTGAACAGTGGAAGCGTGATCTTTCATATCAAAATGGCTGCTAAGCATATTTTTAGTTTCCATGATGATATGCAAATTAGAGCCAAATATAAGTAAATCATCCACATAGAGGCTAATAATGACATGTGAATTTTCTTCAGATTTATAGTAGATGCATTTCTCACATTCATTCGTTTTATAGCCATTCTTAATCATGCAGGAATCAAATTTCTCATGCCACTATTTAGGGACCTGTTTTAAGCCATATAGGGATTTAACTAGCATGCACACTTTGCTTTCTTGACTAGGTTCCACAAAACCTTCAGGTTGATCCATATAGATTTCTTCACCTAGGTCTCCATTTAAAAAGGCTGTTTTAACATCCATTTGATGAACTTTTAGATCATGAATTGCAGCCACTGCAATTAATAATCTAATGGATGTAACTCTAGTAACCGGAGAAAATGTATCAAAAAAGTCAAGATCTGCTTGTTGTTTAAAACCTTTTGCAACAAGCCTTGCTTTATATTTATCAATAGTTCCATCCGGTTTAAGTTTTTTTCTCAAAACACATTTACAGCCAATAGTGTTACAACCTGGTGGTAAATCTACTAATACCCAAGGTTTATTCGATAATAATGATTCCATCTCATCATTTACAGCCTCGTTCCAAAAAACAGAGTCAGGAGATGCCAAAGCTTCTTGTAAAGTTAATGGAGTTTCCTCCACATTAAAAACATGATAATCAGGGCCAAAATCTTTTTCTAATCTGGCTCTTTTACTCCTTCTAGGTTCAAAAACTACAGTATCTTGGTTTTGTAAAAGAGGAGTAAAGGGACCGGTTTTAGATAAAATATTTTCTTGATAATTTTGACCCTCAGCATTTTTAGATTTAAAAGGAAATTTTTCTTCATGAAAAATTGCATCACCCGATTCAAAAATTATTTTGGTTTCCATATTAAAAAATCTATAGGTTGTACTATTTGTTGCATATCCAAGAAAAGCACAAGTGGCAGCTTTCACACCTAATTTAGGTCTTTTAGGGTCCACAAGTTTAACAAAAGCTAGACAACCCCAAACCCTCAAATATCTCAAATTTGGATTATGCCCTTTCCACAACTCAAAAGATGTAACTTTTGTTTTTTTATGTGGCACTCTGTTCATGACATAACATGCAGTTAAAATTGCTTCTCCCCACAAATTTGAAGGAGCACCTGCTTCAATTAGCATAGCATTTGTTAAATCAGTTAAAGTTCTATTTTTCCTTTCTGCTACACCATTAGATGCAGGTGAATATGGTGGAGTAGTTTCATGGATTATTCCCAAAGACTGAGCAAACGAGTTGAATGCAAAAGATTCATACTCCCGGCCTCTATCACTCCTATACCTTTTAATCTTTTTACCGAATTGATTTTCAACTTCAAGAAGGAATTCTTTAAATTTTTCAAAAGCATCACTTTTATTTTTTAACAAGTATACATAAGTGTATTTTGAAAAATCATCAATAAAAGTGATAAAATATCTATTTCCACCACGTGTTAAAATTCCTTCAAATTCACATAAATCAGTGTGAATTAATTCTAACAATTCAGTATTTCTCACCACACTTTTATGAGGCCTTTTAGTTATTTTTGCTTGACTGCAAACTTCACATTTCTCAAACTTGTTTATTAGTCTGGGAATTAATCCTAAACTACTCATGACTCCCACATATTGGCTATTAATATGACTGAGACGAGCATGCCAAAAATTCATAGAAGACAGCATGTAAACAGAAATATGTGCTTTCTTATTCTCAACATTTAATTTAAACATTCCATCACAAGCATACCCTTTTCCCACAAATATGCCTTTTTTAGTGATTACATATTGATCAGATTCAACAGTCTGTTTGAAACCAACTTTGTTGAGCAAATAACTCGACATCAAATTTTTCCTCATGGACGGTGTGTACAACACATCTTTTAAAACAAGCACACGTCCAGAGGTAAAATTCAGCTCAACATCCCCATACCCGAGCACCTTGGTTAAACTGGAGTCACCAAGCATAACAGTCTTCTCCTCATTAAAAGGAGTGAAATCTTTGAACCAATCTTTATCATAGCAGACATGCCTATTGGCACCAGAGTCTGCCCACTACCCTTCCACATATTGAACCATAAAAATATCTGTAATCATAGCCACAAATGGTTCCTCGGTAACATTAGCCTGTGGTCGAGGCTGTTTTTCCGAAATTTGCAAGTTCGAGCAATATGCCCACTTTTGCCACACACAAAACATGTCACATTTGTCAGATCTTGTGAAGGGGGTTCTTGATTCCACTTCTTTTGCCTCAGGTAATTTTTATTTTGTGGTCTTCCAGTATTTTTCCAAATTTTCTTAACTGGCTTGAAATGACTATTTTTATGAAATCAACCTTTAGGTAAAGTATTTCCAGAAGTTAAATTTACCTTAGCAGTGGAATACTCTTGTGTCATAAGCGCATCTTGTCCTCGTGTTTCCTCCACCACCCGAATCCGTGTGATTAGAGTTTCCAAGGACGTCTCTTTTTGCTTGTGACGCATTGACTTCTGGAATTCCCTCCAAGATGATGGAAGTTTGTCAACAATACCTGCTACAACAAGATTGTCTCCAATTTTGATGCCTTCAGATCTAATTTTAGCTACTAACATCTGAAAATCTTGAACTTGCTCCACCACTGATTTTCCATCTATCATTTGATAGCGGAAAAAACGGCTTGCAGCATATTTTTTTGCGCTTGCTTCTTCAGTGTCATATTTATTCTACAAGGCTTTCCAAATTTTCTTGGCAGTGGTGTAAGTAGTATCATAATAATCATAAAATTGATCTGAAAGACAATTCAAAAGATAGTATCGACATTTATACTCATCTGTGTTGTATTTTTTGAGTTTTTCAAGATGAGTGGCATACTCCTCGTCGGTCATCTCTTCAGTGGGAACTTTGTTCGGATTTTTCTCGGTCAGGATATAAGCCACGTTGAGGAGACTGAGGTAAAAAAACACCTTGCCTTTCCATCTCTTGAAATGGGTTCCCTTGAACCGGAAGGGCTTGCTGAGATTTCCAGTCTTCTCGTTGGGCTTCTCCAGTACTGGCTCCATGAACTTTTGCTATTTGAATACCTTAAAATTGTTGGTGATAATTACAAATAATACACCAGAAAATACAAATAATAAAATTACAATAACTTATTATCAGGGCTGAGGCGCGGGAAACTCGCTCTCTTTAAGGAGATTCAAGCCCTCTGCGGTTAGGCAAAGCCTCACACCGGTGCAGCAGAAAAAACCTTGACTTGTCCCCCTCAGGATACAACAGCCCGACTAAGTCGTATGGTTCACAAATACTGCACAATTGGTTGAACCCAGAGCTTTATCACACACACCCTTTTTATTTGCCTAATAATCTCACTCAAGACATAACCAAAGCAACCAAAACTTCTTCTCTCTTATATGTATACAAAAATATGACACAAGTTAATATATATATATATATAGGAAACAAAACTTAATAGGCAAGGCTCACGGATGGATAAGTTAGAGACCAAGACTTGGACCAAGACCAAGAAGACCAAGATCAAGAAAGCTTAATAAGCAAGGAATGGATAGGAGACTTGAAGAAGAGTTGAAAAGATAAGCATGAGAGACTTGGCAAAGACTAGAGAGACTTAGCTTGGAAGTCATGGAGATTAGGAAGACTAAGAGGAAGACAAAAACACATTATAATATTAAAATACCGCTAACAGAGAGTGATGGGATTTTGTTCAACACCATGGAGGAGATTGACCATGTCGGGATGGAGTATTTTAGGCACCAAATTGGTTGTTCCGTGTGGCCAGTTGGGCCTATTCTGTCTTCCTTGGGAAGCAAAGCTCGTGCTGGTGATGACGCTAAAGCCACAATGCATCTTAGCATGAAATAGCTTGATTCGAAGCCAGAAAATCCAGTTCTTTATGTGGCGTTTGGGTCACAAAGTGCACCATCACCATCACAAACAATCCAGTTGGCCATGGCTTTGGAAGCGTGTGGCAAAAATTTCTTTTGGGTCGTTAGGCCAACATCGAACTCAGTCACAGATCATGACCATAATGATGGAGAATGGTTACCAAGAGGCTTTGAGAGGCGTATTCAAGATAGCAACAAAGGGCTGCTGCTACTGCAACAATGGGCATCCCAGTTGGAAATTTTGTCCCGTAAATCTCTATGTGCGTTTTTAACCCACTGTGGATGGAACTCAGTGCTTGAAGCTCTCAGCAATGGAATCCCAATGCTTTCGTGGCCGATGGGGGCAGAGCAAAACTTCAATGCCAAGATGTTGGAGGAAGAGTTGGGACTCTGTGTTGGGGTGGCAAGTGGGAGCAGTGAGGTTAATCATAAAGACATTGTGACAATGATTGATTTGGTAATGGGTGGGTCAACTAAAGGGAAAGACATGAAAAACAAAGCTTGTGAGGTTATGGAGACGCTTAACAATGCCAAGAATGATGAGAAAGGATTCAAGGGGTCTTCAGCCAAAGCCATGCAGGATTTTTTGTATGCTGCATTGTCAAAGTCTTGTAATTATTAAACTAGCCTTGCAGATCAGAGTCAAATGATCTGAGGGGGAGGTTGCCTTCAATGTTTTTACTTATATATTATTCCTACACATGTGTGTCTCTTTTCTAGTTTCATTTTAATTGGATTAGAAGGTCAATGCCTTAATTCCAGTTAAATATAACACAAATCACTTATCTATTTTACTGTTGACTTTTGTATTTATTTTTCATTTTCTAATAGAATAATATGCCCTTTCTCGCCAATCTTGGCTCTTGTTTTCTAGTTGATTGGAAAAATGTTTTAGTATACATCTTTCATTGCCTCAACTTTACTAGATTATCTACTATTTATGTACACATAGATGTGTATTGAAACTCATGTAATTGTTGTCTTCTGTAATATTTATTTTTTATATGAAACTTATAACTTATCTATCCAAAAATAAAAAATAAAAAATTACTCTCTTCAATATTTTTGTACACTTCCATAAAAAAAAAATACTCTAAAAAGAGTAAAAATGTGTGAATCATATTAAATTTGCCTATGCACACACCACATTAAATTCGAATCAATATAATACTTCTTAATTTTTGAGTACTTTGTAAAGAAATTGTGGTTTATTTCATTCAATAACAATTAAAGAAAGATCTAGCACATTATATAAATGTGATGTAATTGCTCGACCATAACTACTAACTACTTAACCTAACCATAACTACTATCTAACTCTAGTTCTAACGAACCAACAAACTTCAAGCTTTGGCTAACTGAGCAGCAGCAGACTACAATTGTGGTTGCAGCTCATACTGCTGGGGTTGCGGCTCATTCTGCAACTTTGGCATGTGTGACATGTGTGGCTTGAGCTGCAGCTGAGTAGTATGATACATATGTGTCTTTATCCATATGACTGCCATCTTTGCTCAACATTTCTTCTTGATCATTAGGTATGTTATCAGTCTCCCTCAAACTTTGGGGACATAGAAGGACTTCAAGTTTACTTCAAAGATTTTAAACCTAGAGATTGAGAGAGATTTAGTGAGAATATCTGCAATTTGATTAGTAGAAGCAATGTGACAAATGACAAGTTGTTTGGCAGCAACTCTCTCTCTCTGACAAAATGGTAATCAACCTCAATATGCTTTGTCCTGGCATGAAAAACTGGATTATGAGCCAAGGCTATGGCAAACAAGTTATCACACCATATAGTGGGAACAAACACTGACACATGCAGTTCAACAAGAAGTACGCCAAGTCAGCTCAATTTAGCAGAAACTTGAGCTAAAGCTCTATATTCAACCTTAGATAAAAATCTTGAAATAGTGGGTTGCTTCTTAGCACACCAAGGAACCAAATAAAGACCAAGAAGTACACAATACCTTGTAGTGTATCTCCAATCAAGCACATTGCCAGCCTACTCTGAATCTGAAAAAGCATTAAGAATAAGAGGGCCAGTTGTGAAATGAAGGCCATGACTCAATGTGCCGTTGAGATACCTAAGAAGTCTTTTAACTGTTGGAAAATGACTATTCAAAGGGTTTCGTAAAAACTAACAAAGATGATTGACAGTAAAACTGAGATCTGGTCTAGTGAGAGCAAGGAATTGAAGAGCACCTACTAAGCTTCCATAAAGACTAGGCTAAGAAAAAGGAGAATTAACCACTGAAGCAGCAACCTTAGTAGCCATGAGAGAAAAATAGGGCTTACAATCTTGCATACCAGCTTTAGCTAAGATTTCGGAAGCATATTTCTGCTGAGACAAAATATAGCCTGAAGAAGAAGAGGCAACAGAAATGCCAACAAAGTAATTGAGAAGGCCTAATTCTTTCATAGAGAAAGCAAAGTGCATTTATTGGATACGAGTGGAGATAAAAAAAAAAGGATCACTGCAAGCGATAAGAATATCATCAACATAAACAAGAAGAATAGTAATGGAAGTAGGAGTTTTCTCAACAAACAAAGAAAAGTCACAGTGGCTAGGAACAAAATCACGGAAAAGAAGAAAAGAAGCAAATGTAGAGAACCAAGCTCTTGGAGCTTGTTTTTAGCCATAGAGGGCTTTTTTCAATTTGCAAACAAGAGATGGATGAGTAGCATCAATAAATCCCTAGGGTTGATGCAAAGTAATGGAAATGTCAAGTTGTTTAATAAGCCAATGATAATGAAGAGCTAAACATAAGAGAACCCTAATTGTGGGTTGTTTAGCAATAGGATTAAATGTTTCATGATAGTCCACTCCCTCAGTTTGAAGAAATCCTTTAGCAATCAGTCTGGCTTTATGCTTAGTAATAGAACCATTTGAGTTTTTCTTAAGCCTAAAAACACACTTGCAGCCAATAGCCTGTTTACCAGGTAGAAGAGGTACCAAAGACCAAGTACCCTGGCCTAGTATTCATCTGACATTGTGTAGACACCCCATTTTTGACCGTCCTCAAGACTTGGACGTCACCATTTGAACACTCGGTGATCATCCTTGTTTGTGTTCGTCTTGAGTTCCCAGAGGTCTCGGCCACGCGCCTTGCCTCAGGATCTCTCGACTCGACTATTTTGTGTTTGGTTTTGCACCAAACACTTGTGTTTCTGCTTTGGATGGCAGAGAACGGCTTGTTGGCCATCCCCACACCTCACCAGCCATGGCTTGAGGCCACCGGCCACTGTTTTGTTGCCATCGGCCAAATGTTTGGCCGGTCGGTACTATTGATGTTTGGCCGACCATTGTTTTTGCCAATTTGGCATCTTTGGCTGGCCGACCACTGTGCATCTGCTTTTGGCAGATATTTTGTGCCAGCTGTGATAGCTGGCACCCACTTTGCCCCCCTCTATACACGTGTATGAAGGGATTTCACTCTTGCTTAGCTTGTTTTGTAAGCTTTGCAAGAGTGATCCTCTATAAAGGGAGGCCTTTTTCTCCCTTCTCAAGGGTTAGAAGGTTGAGTTCAAGAGGCCTGGATTAGGGTTAGGGTTTGTGTATCACCTATCTCTATATCTCTCTCTCGTTTTGCCTTTGTGTGTGTATAAGTGTGTTTGTGTCTTACTTTTGTGCATAAACACCTAGTGCTACACCTTACCTTGGTTTTTGAGGTGCCAAAGGTTTGTTTTCAAAGTTTTGAGCTGGTTTCGAGCTAAGGAAGTTTGCTGGAGCTCCATCCTTGAAGGGGTCTACAAGGGTAAGATTCTTGCTCTTTATTCCCCATTTTTGCATAGTCTTTTAACCTACCTTGCATCTATTTTTAGACTTCATGTATGACTAATAAAAGTCTTTTTTTTGAGTGCTCTAAATAGTTTTTTAAGGTCACTTTGTTGTTTGGGGTTGGTTGGCCCCTCTTAGGCCTTGTTTGGTCCCCATTTTGTACATTTTAGGTGAGCTCTGGGACTACCTTGTTTGGGCCTCCTCACCACTGAAATCCCTCTGGTGGGGATGGTGCTTTAAGGTCCTAAGAAGGAGAGGGTCATCCCCTCTCCTTGTTGCCTTCAATGTTGGCCATTTTAGCCTCATCTGTGAGCATCTTGTTTAAGTGCATGTTGGCCACGTCCTAAGTGTTATTTGTGCTTATTTTGCCATGATATAGCACTATTTTTAATTGGTTTAGACACACCATGCATGCTTAACATACTTGTCTTGTAATGCCATGAATTGCCTTAACATGTGCCTAGCATTTAGACCACAATGCTTACTTATTTTGGCCTAGCTTTGTGAAGCTTTTATGCATGTTTT